GCTCCAACAATCCCTGAAGTTCTCGTTGTCTCTCTCTTTCAGCCCTCATAAGCAAATCAAGTAATGCCTGCCTACCTCTTACTCTCCGCAAGTCTCGACGAACATGATGTGGTTGCCCTTCTTCATGGGTAACAGCTAACCCTACACGGACCCTGTCAACTTGTGCAGTATCATGATTCCTATCAACTTCTGAAGTAGACCTCGGATCTTCTCTCGGTGTTGCACGAGCTACTCCTCTCTGCTGACTTGTCATTTGCATCCACTCTCTTATAATCCTGACTCTTTCTCGTTCAGTATCACCCAGCCACTCGGGTCTACGGTTATCATCTCTCTGCCTAACATTAGATGAATGATCATTGCCCCTACTATCCATCCATCCACGGGCAATATGCCTCACCCTCTCCCTCTCGCCATCGCCAAGATCAGGAGACTGCTCCCTACTGGAAGTATTATTATTATCCCCATGCTCATTCCGATCATGTGACCAAGACCCGTAATCATTCTCACTCTCACTCGAGTCTCTCAGACTCCCATTGTTTTCACTCACCTGACTCTCCGAAGCAATAGAGCTAGACAAATTAGTATTAGACTCAGCACTCCTTTGCTGCCTCAATCTTTCCCTCACCCTTTCACGTGCCCTGTTAAGCACATGCTCATCTTCCAATTCCCTCCACATCTGCAAAATCCCAGATGCCTGAGTGTTAGGCCTCTCACTAGCAGCACCCTGACGCCTTGAAGATGGAGACTGAGACTCCCTAAGGAAAGAAGAATCGAGCATGGAGACCGTTTGCAAACCAGCCAACGCAATCAACTCAGACTCTCGGTTCCTCCTCTCAATCGTAGTAATCATCTCCTGAGCCTGCCTAGCAGCCCACCGGCTCAAAATTTGAGATTGACGCCTTCTTGCAGCAGATGATTCAGCCAAATTATCCCCTTCAAGTTCAGACCTTCGTCTCCTCCTCACAAGCTGATCACCTTCCTCATCCTCATCCTCTGGGTTGTGAACAGAACTACAAGACCCAAATGAGATACACTCGTCCAAGTGCCCACGCATGAATTCCTCCAAACCACGTTCAAACTCAGTACGAACATCATCTCTAGACTCCGATTTTTGTTGCAAAGGCTGAATACTAGTCATCCTCCTCCCGCTTCAATTGAAACCCCAGAACCTAAAAATCCTTTTTTTAATGTCAATTCCGATATTCAAAACAACATAGTAACTCCATCAAATCATTCTCAAAACCTAAAACCACATCTTCCCCAGAATTTCTGAGAAGATCCCAGAACACACAAAATCCCAACATCCAAAAGATTCAAAATTTCACACCCAAATGTCCTCCAATTCATCTCTCACCTGATATCAGCCAAATTGAACATTCAAAACCCAAAATTTCACTTCCAATTATCAACAAAATCGAACCCAATTCACAAAGTTACGTAATTTAGATAAGCGAGACGTACCTCTTCGTGTTCTTCGTCAATGGCGAAACAGAATTAAGAAAACAAAGGGGAAAGATGAACCAAAAAGCTCCTATAAGACGAAATTGCGCAATCAAATTCAATGAAGGATCGAAGAAGAAGAAGAAGAGAAAACAAAATAATCGGTGATTTATTATTGAAACTAGAAAAAGATTGGATTTTTTTCTAAGAGAGAAGGTACAATGGCCATTGGACAGAGAGAGAGATAAAACAATTAATTAATCACTCTTTAATTGTCTTTTTCTCGTAATTAATTAATTTTATTTAGTTTTCTTCTATTTTTAATTTAATTTAGTCTACTTTTTCGCTTTTGCTAAAATTAAAAATAAGCAAGGAAAGGCGAGTCTCAAGGAAGCGAGGAGTTGGTCTACGATTCTAACACGTGGCATGATTATCTCATCCCACGTCATGTTTTTTAATCTCTAAATTGTCACTGTAATGATAAATTAATGAATTATGCATAAGACCATATCCAAATCCATATTTGAGCAAGACATAGTAGGAATTCTTTAATGATTAATAAAATAATGATCCCAAAAACAAAATAGTTGGATTTTCAACAAAAAAAAAAAAAGGTTGGTTTCTTTTTCTTAAGTTTGTACTATGTAGCTAAGAAAATAAAGATAACTCATAAAATATCTGAAAATGCAACAACGGAAAGAAATCAAGAATAGAAAAAGGAAATGAAGATCTAATTAACTTTTATTTGCACCAATTTGTAATTGAGGAATCAAAATAAAGGAAGACGCAGAAAGGAAGATTGTGAAAAAAATGGAGGTATAAACATAGGCCTACCTGAGAAAGGTGTGGTGGTTTTTTTTTTTTTTTTGGGTTTTAGGAATGTGTTAAGGTTTGGATCCTGAAATTTTAAATGGAGAGAGATGAGATGACAACATCTCTGACCTTTCAAGTTTTTAAAGGGAAGGAAAGCTCAAACTTCACACCATATTATAAAATATAAATATTATTTTTTGTATATTTATATACCCTAAGATTATTTTGGATTCATATTTTCATAGACTCCAGCAAACAATTACATCTTTGTACTTTAACACAAACCAAAAAAAGAAGAAAAAGACAAACAATTGTATCTTGGTATTATAAATGGGCAAATCAATTTTTAACAACCTTCATGGCCATATCTTTTCAAAATTAAGATAACCTATTATTTTATACATAGCTGGGGAGCAAAAGTGTAGTTGGGCATTTGATCATAGATAGATAAGAACCGAGTCCGAGTGCATAATACAATGAGATTTTGTATAATAATGCTCAGTTTCATAGTGGCAAAGAAAGAGTTTATGTTAATTATGTTTATATAATATATAATAAAAATTCCCCAATTTGGATCGATCTTTGTGAGGGTTTCGTACCAAACAATTATTCTCACATGGAGTAATCAAGAAAAATAGATAAATTATATCACATGATGGCATAGTTGATTGTTTTTTTTTTTCGTTCTCTCTTATTATTTGATACTTTTAAACAATATAATCAAATAAGAAAATGTCTATGAGAAAGCTTACAAATGCATTGGGACGAAAGACAAGGTTGCATGGATTTTGGGTGTATGTTAGGTCTCATCAGTCACATACATCTTTCACTGATTAATACAAATTATACAACGTACGTTTTCTTTTTCTAACATCCACTCATCTTCTTCTTCTTTTAGGAGTATATGTTTATCATGATGTATACATTATCACTGTGTTTAGGAAAACAAAATCTAGGCTGTGATTAGTAATAACTTCAAAGAAAATTACTATGTTTTAGATATTTGCTGCAAAATCATTGCTTAGGGTTTTAGCAAAAACTCCAAAAACCTAGAAACGTTCTGGTATGTATCTGAATCAATTCAACCCATCACTACAAGAAAACACTCGATTTGCGAGTATCGAATGTTTGCGAGGGCATTGCAAGTAATTTGTCACGAATTGGACGCGCGTAACACTTCCGTCGCAAAAATTGTGACGGCTAATTCTCTCGCAAATTTGCGATGGAGTTACGAGTACCTTGCGAGAAAGAGCTAATCCGTCGCAAATCACCCGCACTTCCCTCACAAATTTTTACCCTAAACCCTAAAGTACGTAAAAGTGTTTTGCGAACTTTGATTTTCATATATAAAAGTGAATCCAAAAGGCCATATAATCGGGCAAGTTGAATAAGTGGTGATGCTTAAAAAAAGATCGGATAGGTTTCAATACCAACATTTTTTATTGAAAATGTTATAGACATTGTACATTTGAATCAAATTTGCTTTCAAATTTTATTTTTGTTATATTTTTAATCAATTGAAATACGGGTTACTTTCTAATAATAACAGTAATTAAGTAGTTTCAACAATAATTATGATATCACACACTACTAAACTGATTAGCAACTCACTTGCAAATCCATAGCAAATTTTGCTAGGGAATTGCTTGAAGTCTTTCGGAATCTAGCAAATTCATAGCAAAATATGCGAGGGAAGTACTATTAATAAAATTTGCAAGTTGTTAGCAAGAGTAATTGTTCGTCGCAATTTCCGTGCCTTTTGCGAGGGAATATTTTAATCGCAAAAGTTGCGACGGATGTACTACGGGTCCCACTTTGCGAGACGAGCATAGCGACAAATTGACTATCGTCGCAAATCTCTTGCAATTGTCGATTTGCGAAGGATTAGCTATAAATCCTTCCATCGCAAAACGCCGTGTATTCTTGTAGTGCCACCTTCTTCACTATTTTTGTCTTTTACTGAAAAAAATATAGTTCTCGAAGTCCCAAACTTTCATTCGAGAGGGAACAAACGCACGTTTTGGTTTTAACATTTTACGACATCCATATACAATCATGCATCTTTAACTTAGCCACAGTAAGTTTTAATATATATTTGTATATAATAGATCTTTTGTCTATATCCTTTTGTTTTGGAAATTTCACGCAATGTGAATCGGATATATTCACTTAAACTACTTTTACTTTGGCTATACATGGCTTGACAATATTTTCCAATTCACCCAAAATAAAGGAAAACATATCAAACACAATCTTTCTTGTTTCACAGTTATGTGAATGTCTTCTTTTGTCTTGCAATAACTGTGAAGTTAGCATTATATGCTTGATTTTGTCTTTCGAAGAGAGAAGAGACTTTTGCTTTGAGATACGCACAAATGATATATGGCTGTCGTTTGTAGGAGGACCGCTAAGATAAATTATTTTTCAATTGCTTACAACATTTGCTTCTTTTCTACTCATGCTTAATTTTGTATAATATATTGCATAAGATAAATTTTGATGGTTCTCTTTCATGTTTACGTTTGATTCGTATAATGAGTATTTGTAAATCGTAAAAATAAGTAAACACGAATCACAAACAAAAAAGTCCTCGCTCGATTACTTTCGTGTTTGTGTCTACAATTTCATTAAATTGTTTTGGCTTCATTTTGAAAGTAACACATTATCTTTGACTTATAAACATAACTAGATCGATATCACACATTGACGAAAGACATGAAGTGAGAAAGCTTTTCTTCTGAAAAGTATTAAATCGAACAAACTGTCAGGTTCCAGTCTGAACCGGCTCATCCATTTATCGGTTCACTTTTAGTTCTATCAGACACATATTTTTGGTACAAAGGTAGATCCGTTTAGGGAACTTCCGGTTGGATTACCATGACACACCGTGAGATTACAGTGAAACAAACAAACAAACAAACGTATTCTATTGAAAATGGTTGAAATTCCAGAGACTACGGATTCATTTGTGATCATTTTACCCGAATAACACATTAAAAAAGATCGAGAATTAGTTAACATTCCCGATTTGAACTTGAGGAGGCGCAGGATCGTTGAACCAGGTACAGTAGCTTTTGCTTTACTGTCAGATCTCGCCAGTCCCAAGAGGTTGCCTTGAAGTGTCTCCAGAAGCCCATGCTTGATAATCTTTTGAGAGCTACAAAACGAGTAAAAGAGCATGATAAGATTAATGTTTGGATGACTCGGCAGGAAATTAAATGAAGAAGGAACGCATAAATATAACGAATCAACAAGCCAGTTCTACAGTATAAACCATAGAAGCCTTGGCTAATCTGAAACCTGAGTCCTGCTTCAACATGTGCATTACCGACATAAATAAAGCCCAAATACAAGTTATATTGCCACAGCAAGCAGCTCAAATATGAAAGATCTTCTCAACAGGAAACCTCAGATGTCAAACTAATACTCTCAAGCAGGATGATCATGCAATTGAAAAACATAAATGATAGCTTAAATGACCTCGTTGATGCAGAATAAGTGATTAAAAGGTAATGATACAAATGTTGCTTTCCTGCATACCTGTGACAAAAATCGCGGTAGCATGAGTTTAAGAATTTGATCAAGAACTTGTGTCCCTGTAGCCTCTATTGCTCCGACTGGGAAGACTCTAAATGCAAAAGGAATCTCGATATTGACCTACAATTGCCAAATAAATCAGAAATACCACAGCAATGCACTGATTAATTAAGCAAAAAAAAGGAAGAAGAAGTTAGCTACCTCAATGACTGCATCAGAAGTAATTTGTTGCTCTGATGTACCTTCCTGAGTGCTATCACATGATACCCGGTTCACCATAGAAGCTGCATGACTAGAAAATACTAAACGTTAAGCCCATACAACGATCACCATATCTAATTTCAGTAAACAAAAGTTCACCAAGAAAATTTTGATCAGTTTGGGGCCAACAAATAGAATCATATACAGGGATATGCTTACCATCAAATTTGTCATTTTGAGCAACCACAACAGGGGATCCCTCAAGCTATATAGCACAAATCAATGAAACATCATTAACATAACAAACATCACTCAATTTATGTCTATTAGCCACAAGTTGTTCTCTTTATTTGGAAATTCTATCATTAACAAAAGAAGATTTTACCTTGCAGGACAAGAGCTTGATGCAGCAGCCATTAGGCTGTTCTTCAACCCTGACAAGCAAAACAGGGCAGACTTCAAAGTTGAAGAATTTAAAAGTATAAACATAACATCTGAACGTGTTATCATCAACTCTCACAATCCTCTCCGCATCAAGCACCGAGTACTGACTTGCTGGTAAGCTCATATACTCAACTGCAACCATAAACAACAACAAACAAAAAACCAAATCCGATCCAGATTTAACCAATCCACAAGAACACAGAAATTTAGATCAAGCATGGTTGAAGTTACTTAGAGGTCGCTGGAGCTGACGAACGGAGATGGATTGTTTCTGACGAGCGATGAATCGAGCTTTGGGGGTGGAGCTCGATGAGACGCGAATAGGTGGCGTAGAAGAGGCAAGAGAAGGTTTAGGTGGTTCGTCAAAAGACGATGAGCTACTAATGGTGAAGGAGAGAGATGGATTTCTAGGGTTTCGATTCGTCTTCTTCGCTGAGAACGATAAAGAGGTAAGTCTAAGCGTAGCTGAGCTCAACGCCATAGCTAAAACGACGGCGTTTTAGGATACGAGATTTTTAACGACTTAACGTCTCAGCTTAAACACAGAAGCGAAGCAGAGAGAGAGTGAGAGAAAGGTGATAAGATTCTGGGCCGACGGAGATTTGGGAGGTGGCACCACCATCACCACCTGCTTTGGCTGCGCATGTTAGCCTGCTCACGTTGTTTCGCCACTGTTAAAATACGCTGAATATTGGAAGCAAACCCAATAAGAGCCCCGTAAACTAAATATCTTGGGCCAACGACAAATTATAAACGAATAACCTTGGCAATTTGAGTAAATATAAAAATGTGTTGTAACCAGACTCGGTTGGATCCATTCCATAACACTTGTTAGTTTTTTTTTATTTAAATTATTAGATTTTCTCTAATTTGGAGTACAGAACAAAACTTTTAAGAAAATGTTAAAAAGAGTCATCTATAATTATTGAAAAGTAATAATGTATTTAATATATTTTTTTTTTTGGGCAAAATTGTAACTAATATAAAGTTAGTTTATGATGCCACAAAATAATATAGTAAGATTATTTTTTGAAGGTTTTTAACCAATGAATCTGTGTAGTCGTGAGGAAAACACAGGTTGCGACTTCCCATTATTGTCGGCCTAAAAAACCAAAAATCACCTTATAATAATATTGAACTTCATTAATTTAATCGACCGATTCAAATCATAAACATGCATTACCATTAATCGTATCTATTCTCTTCGTCAACTATACCGTACAATTTGACAAATATATACTGTATTAACTACAATTCAAGATCTAACAAACTATGAAAATAATGAATGTAAATCAACGTCCACAATGAGAAACAGAGAAATAAAAAAACACTCTACGCTATTTTAAAATTATTTAAATATATAATTTTGGCGTTTTAAAAAAAAAAATTATGTTAGAATTCGTAGCTAGATGTTATAATTAAAACAAATTGTTAGTAATTTTGCAATTACTAGCTCAAGTTGATTTGATATTTTAACAAATAATAAAAAGTGAGATGATGTGCAAGGAAAAAAAAAAAAAAAAGAGATAGAGAGGCGGTCAATAAAATTAAATTAAGAAAAAAAATGAAAATAATAGAATAAGGGAGCCTAGTGGATAGATAGACGAAGGACACCAGAGCCACCTTCACAAACCGCTCGGCGACAAAGACGAAGAAGCCGAGGAAGTAACGACCGACGAGAGAGCCTTACATCGATAGACTTAGTTTTGCTCAGATTCATATCCACCGGCGCCAAGTGACGGCGACGACGACGACGGAAGGAGCAGATTCGAATTGTGCGAAGACAGGTAACTTTGGAATTTTTCTTCTCAATCTCAGATTTCGATGAACGAGTCTTATCTCTTCTTCTCTCTCCGATTTCGTTCTTATTTTTTCTTCATTGTATTGATAATGTCGATTGGTTGATTCAATTCTTCTCTGTGTATTTCCCTTTTTATCTTCTGATAGCAGCAATGGAGTCTACTGAGTCATATGCGGCAGCTTCACCGGAAGAGCTGGCGAAGAGATCCCCAGAACCGCATGATTCTTCGGAAGCTGGTATTTTCGATCCGATCTGGTCTTTTGTTTTTTTTCCGTCGTTGCATTTTCCTTTCGACTTTGACTCAAATGTTTCGGTATTTCGTCACATTCGTGAATTGGATCTCGTTTAAGTACTTTGTGATTTGACAACGTAGATGTGTGATTATTGCCTTTTTGCTGATGAAAACTGCGATAGATTCAGTTTTCAAAGATGGTTAAACAACGCTAATTCCTTGTGTTTCAGTTCGATGAAATAATACTTCAGTCATTGATGAAAATCTTGTGAATTTTTCCAGAATGTAATGAATTATATAAAGGAACAATCGTGTGAGTGAGTTAGTTCAGACTCATTTTCATGTTGTGTTTTTGTAAGATATGTGGTAGCTGTTATAATCGAGGTTGACAAGGTTTTATTTTTGTCTGTTTCAATTCAACGATTAGCTCAATAATGATGCGTTTTAGTGAACCATGCTATCTATTTGACTATCTAATGTGTTTTGCTCTTTTCAGATTCTGCTGAGAAGCCAACACACATTCGGTTTCTTGTATCCAATGCGGCAGCTGGTTCCGTCATTGGGAAAGGTGGCTCGACCATCACTGAATTTCAGGCAAAGTCCGGGGCAAGGATTCAGCTTTCACGTAATCAAGAGTTTTTCCCGGGGACGACCGATAGAATTATTATGATATCGGGCTCAATCAAAGAAGTTATCAATGGACTGGAACTTATCCTTGATAAATTGCACAGTGAGGTAATCTTTTTTTTCGAGATGTGTTTGACAAATTTGTATTTCATGTCACAATTGCGTTTAGAATGAGATCAGTTTTAACTTTTCTGTTTGTTTGTTAGCTTCATGCTGAAGATGGTAATGAGGTTGAGCCTAGGAGAAGAATTAGACTTGTGGTTCCTAACAGTTCTTGTGGAGGTATAATTGGAAAAGGAGGGGCCACCATCAAGTAAGTTTCCGTTCTGTATCTGTTGCAGCAGTTTCTTTGAGGTTTTCAGACCTTCCATAGCCTGTTTCCCTTAACACCATTTCCTACAGCACGCTTAACCACCAAATAACATTTATAATGTATCTGGTCATGTTCTTGCATTATTTTCCATGTTCAAATCCTCTCTGGTTCATATCTTTAAGAGAGCAATTATAACCTCTGAATGCATGCATGCATAAACAAGTCAAGACCCTATATATAACAGGTGAACACAGTTTCTGAGTATTAGAGGTAACTCAGTTTGAAGTAGTGTTAGTATGGAATAACTAGTTTCTTTTAAGTTCTAGAATATGGCATTGCATTTTTGATTTTTACAAGGAATATTGACTTCAGTTGTACTGCTGTCACTAACCCTCAAGACATTTCTTTCTTTGCAAAAAGGTCATTCATTGAGGAATCTAAAGCTGGTATTAAGATATCCCCTCTGGATAATACCTTCTACGGGTTGAGCGATAGGTTAGTGACATTATCTGGGACCTTCGAGGAGCAGATGCGGGCAATCGATTTGATTTTGGCTAAGCTTACTGAGGACGATCATTACTCCCAGAATGTGCATTCCCCATATTCATATGCAGGTATATAAACTCAGCATTTATATATGTTGGAAAGCAATAGGATTTTCTACTGAGTTTTAGATTGTATGATGTCACTAAGGTAGTAATGGTGTTTAGTATCTTTCATCACATGGATGTTCTTTCCCTTTTGAGGATTGTGTATGATGGTTGTCTGTTGTAGCTTAATTCTCTTGTAAGTTCCTTTAAACTCGGCATTTTAGGTCTTTTCTACTCTGGTTTTCATGGTCCTCCATATGCGTATGCGCTTCCTTCTGTTGCAACAGCGGGCTACAATTCAGTTAACTACGCGCCCAACGGTTCTGGAGGCAAGTATCAAAACCACAAGGTTAGCCTCTTCTCATTCTCTTCCACCCTATTAGTATTTATGCGTTTATATGAATCAATCTCTATTTGTATTACTGCTATGGGTAATGTGGTGTTACAAGTCATATCTTCCACCCTATTTATGTAAACGCATATATATATGTATGAATCAATCTATCTTTGTGTTACTGCTATGGATTGTATGGATCAATTAATATCTAGAAACTTTAGGAGATACCAATGTGAAATCTACATCTGATATTTTTGTTAGGAATTAGGCTTATCAAAAAGATTGGTGATGTTTTTGTAATAAACCAACTACTAAAATAAATTTGATCGGAGATGCAATTTCTGTCATGTCTTACTATCCATATAAAGATATTTATTGCCATTCATTCGAACACACTGCTTAATCTCCAGTAGGAACAAAATCAAGCGATACTAGCTTATCAACATGAGAATACAACACATTGCTGTCACATATAAGATAATAGATGGCCTTTTGGTATTAAAACAGCTAGAGATTCGTTTTTTTTTTTTCCATTACTTAAGCTGTGTTTTGATATATATTCCAGGACGAAGCTAGTACCACGGTGACAATTGGTGTTGCGGATGAGCATATAGGATTGGTCCTTGGACGTGGAGGAAGAAACATCATGGAAATCACTCAGGTATTTTGCAACCCTTAGTTGAAACTCTTTCGGTCCACAGAAACTTAAAGCCCACTTTTCTTCCCGCAGATAACTGGTGCCCGAATAAAAATATCAGACCGAGGTGATTTCATGTCTGGAACCACTGATAGGTAAAGTTAAGATTATTGGAGAGTGTAACAACCGAACAATGTGTTTGTACCTCTCATGTCTAAACTTGAGAAATGGCAAATATTGACAGGAAAGTGAGTATCACAGGGCCACAGAGAGCAATCCAACAAGCTGAGACGATGATAAAACAGAAAGTTGATTCAGCCACAGAGAGAGCCACCGATTAAAACCGTTTAAAGAGAATCCATCTCAGTTCCTGTCTTTGGTCTGTTTACTTCATTTGTTGAGGCTTAAGCTTTCGGATGGGGATCATTAATCATCTTTGAGTGAGGCAGAGATTTCTCTCTAGGAGCTCTCTTTCGTTTTATTTATATGTCGACATTATATAATGTGTTTTTCTCTGGGAGAGAAGCAGATTTGGAGTTAGAAAAGTACTATTTTCATTTGTTTTTTAATAAATTTGTTGCAATTTGTTGAAGTTTTGTTTCCCTTTTGAGTTCTTTCTGTTGTAACAATTTACAATAACCAGCCTTTACATTGCGTTTTGCTTCCTTCTTTTATCAACTATTTACAGTTTTTAGTTCTTTTTTTTTTTTTCTTTTTTTTTTTGCTGTAACGATTAAATGAGAAATTACAAAAAGTGTTGACTTGGTTTAGGACTTGGGAGTGCGAGTAGTAGTCTAGTTTGAATTGCTGTCGTATGTGCGTCTAACATAGTCCAAATACTTAGAGGATCCTGTTATGTCACTATGGAGCATGATCATCAATATTTCACTCACATGCCCTTCAAAATGCTTTTCTCAATGTTCATTACGTTACCGAACAAGAAACAAATACACCACATTAACTTGATAATTAACGAGAAATCGAAAACACATCATCTTTTAAATAATATGTTTGGAGGCAAAAAAAAAAAAAAATTGTTTGGAGGCGAATCTAAGTTTCAAACAAGTCAACAAAATATTACCTATCTTAAAGGATTGAGTACCCACATCATTAACGCTCCATCAACGTTAAGGCTATAATTAGGCAGATTTTCGTCAACATGTCTATGGTATAGAATAGCATGAATGAGTCTAAGAGATCTTAATTTAGAAATGAAAATATGAGCTGATATAGCTAATTCAGCTCTCGCATCTGCTACTGGTTCCTCACCAGCCGCAAGAGCAGCCATAAAAACAGTAAATTGGTTGAGCAAACCATCGTATGCATTAGTCAACCTCGTAAAATGATTGATGACTTGTGCTTGCATATTCTGGTTGTAGCGAAAAGCCACACAAGCCCATGTGCAAATGCGGAACAAAGACATTGCAAACATTACAATTAAAATTCAAAAACACACGACTCTCAGTTTCAGAGAAACGAACAAAATGGTAATTATAAAAATAAAACTAACCTCTTCTACGGCAAATCGCATGTGTGGATGATTGTCAAAAACATTGTGACCAATGACATCTCTCCAGCCAGGCATCCCGGCCTTTGCAAGGTTATAATCTCTCATATGGTTGTAGATCTCGGTAAATTGTGCATCACGTTGCATAAAGTGGTTTTGCCATTGACTCCTCTCATGGCAAGTAAATTTAAAACTTAGAATAACTTTTATGGGTTTTTTCAAATATTTTTATTATGTAAACTAATTTTTTGATTATACAAAATATTTTTGTTTTTAATAAAACTAAGTGTCAAATTTCAATGCAATTGAAAACTAATCGGGCTAAGCATCCCGTCCCATCCGACAGATCCGTAAAAGGTGTTATTAGTCCAACTGCTTTTCACGCAAGTAAATTTAACACTTAGACTAATTTTTATGGTTTTTTACAAAATTTTTTATTATATAACCTAATTTTTTAAAACTAAGTTTTTAACTATACAAAATATTTTCATTTCATTAATTTTTTTTTGGGTAGGAATTCCCTTAGTTTTTTTTTAAAGTTAGAAAAATGTTTTTATTGTTGTTTTAAAAAACTAAGTGTTAAATTTCAATGCAATTGAAAAATAAACCCGACTAAGCATCCCGTCCCATCTGACAGGTCCGTAAAATGTGTTATTAGTCCAACCGCACTCAAGTAAATTTAACATTTAGACTAGTTTTTATTATGTAAACTGTTTTATTTTTTACTATAAAAAAGTTTTCATTTCATTAATTTTTTTTTTAAGTTAGAAAGTTTTGGTGAATCATAGAGGATAGAACATCGAAAGATGTATTTATAATTAAGTAAGGTGAATAGTGAATACCTTTCCAAATCATGCCTTTTTCAATCGACGCACTTCTTTCCGAAATCTCAAAACCAATATAAACCGAACCGAAAATCAATTGTAATTTCAAATCCATGTAAACCGAACCGAAATCAATTGAAATTTCAAACCATGTAAACCGAACCGAAATTGTTTGCATCTTCTCGCCGGTTGGTAACAGAATCATGTTCAAGAAACTGTGAGCAAGAAACTATTTCTGGTAGAAGAGGACGAATCAGGTTCAATCCATCCCAGTATTATAATTTCAAACCATGATTTGTCTTCCAAAATCTCCAACAGATTCTTGTAGAAATTCACTACATTTTACTAGTCAAATTCATAGAGATAGTCGAGAAAGATTGATTTTGATTTTATTGTAATTGTAATTCCCAAAAGTCTTGGCAAGTGTTAGAATCTCTCTGGCAAAGTACTACTTGATTTAAAACAGAGTCTTAAGAAAAAGAAAAAACGACTATTGCTAATTAGTTTTCTCTCTTACGATATCTGAATCTTGGACTAGGTACTGACTCTGCTGGAATGTACAAATCGCTAAGTTCATGTTTGGAGAAAAAAGAAGATGAAGCAGAACCGGAGAAGGTAGTAGTAACTTTGAAAGCAATCGTTAGGAAGCAAGACATAAATATTTTATTCGTTGAATGCGGAGAGGAATTTGTTGAGCTTCTTTTATCTTTTCTTGCTGTCCCGCTTAAATCTGTATGGGAAATCTCTGGCAGCGGTATCTCTTTAGGTTGCATTGGAAACTTGTGTAGAAGCTTCAGTGACTTAAACGCTAATAAGGGGACTGAACTGTCAACTTCAACATGCGCATTACCGTCTTTTTATAGATTCCAGATGCAGGTGCCCCGTATCATCACTCAACAACCTCCAGTATACTACCGCTACACCGATTGCAGGCAAGTGAGCTATGGATGGTGTGACTACAAACGGTAATCGAACTCCTTGTTAGCGCAAGGACAGAATCGTTCGGGTGGATTTGATGGATCCCAAATCCCGTGGCAGTGATAAGTCTACTCATGGGTTCTTGAAGAAAGAGACAAAGTTTACTGTCTTAGATGATCTGACCATTACATCTATGAACTCCTGCTCCTCAGTTTGCTTACTAAAGAAGTTACAGAGTCACGCAGACGATCTAGAGGTGCAAGTAGTTAGCATTAGCAATGCAGAGGTATGCTTCTACATACCCTTTTTGATCCTCTTTAATTGATAGGAACTTGACTGAAACTGTCATTGAATTTGTTGAGAGCTTCCTCTGCTTTGAGCACGGCACTATGGAATTTGATTGCTGATAAACTGAAGGAGGAGACTGATTTATGGAATCCGGTTTCAAAGAAGGTGAAGGAAGAGACTTGAAGAAAAAATACAGAGCTAGTGAGAATGACCTCTTAAGTTGCTACTAATCAATTGTTGATTATGTTTTTAGAATTCTGCAAGATCTACATTATATTCCTCATGTGTTCTTATTAGTGGATTTCCAAGCTTTTTCTTTCTTTGTATGACTAATCAAATTATTGAGTTTTATTTGAATAGATTGTTCAAAGCTATGAGCCTAAATGCAGGCAAAAACTTGCACATATATTTTTGAGTTTCTCTTATTATTAAGCAACTACAACGTTCAATAGAAACATTACCAAGCTATCAACACAAATGCATTCATATACAAAAAGTTTATAATAAGATCCAGTTGGTATATAATTTGGAATGTTGAAGAATGAAGACTTTGAAGCGTTGAACAAAAAAAAGAAGACTTGAAGTTAATGGTCTGCTTCCTCGGTTCTCTCTATTTTTATTTAAATAAAATAGAAATTAATCAGAGTGTGTGTGAGCTAAAAAATAATAATAATCAGAGTGTGTATCGTCTCCGTTGCCCAAAATTTTTTTTTCCTTCGCCGTATTCGGCTCCGGTGTGATTCTTGGGAAGAACTGAAGTAGAGAGATCTGAAACATCAATCTCCGATTTAACTTGGTAAGTAGAGCATTTTTTTTATTCCTCATCTTTCTTTTGATTCGTATTTTTACGGTTCCGTTCATGTAATTTTGTTTTTTGTTCTGTGGACTTGCAGCGACAATGCTTCAAATTCGGCTTCGGAGAGATTCTCCGGCGGAGACTGGAAATGGAGCCTGTCCTGACCATCTCGTACTCGCTGATCTTCCTGTTGCGAAAGGAATCGGTTCCGTGACTCCAACCACCGTAATCAAGCCTGTTGGTCGTCGTTCTCGCCGTCAGCTAGGCGAGAGAGTTCATTTCTGCGTCCGTTGCGATTTTCCGATTGCAATCTATGGTCGTCTGGTATAGTTTCACAATCTAGGGTTTTTTTGGGGGTTCTTCTATGTGATTGAAACTTTTGAGTTGTTTGGTTTTGCAGATACCTTGTGATCATGCCTTTTGTCTTTGAATGTGCTCCTAGTGATTCCATCTGCTATCTGTAAGCATCTGCTTCGAATTCTGGTTACTTGTCTCTTTTTCACAATGCAGTTTAGATCCTATGAACCAAATTTTCTCAAATTGCTTGATCATATGAATGTCTGAACATACTAATAGTAGTGTAGAATCTGTGCTTTAATCAAAAAATCTTGGAAGAGCCATACTTGTGTTCTCGAATTGGCAAGTTTAGAGACAGGGAAAGCATTTCATTTGAAGCTTTGGTAGAGATACTTTAGAGTGTTTGGTAATCTACAGAGACTTTTTAGAGATTTAGTAGGCGAAGCGATTATAGCGGGATTATATAACTGAAATCTTATGATCTCTTGTGTGTGTGTGTGTGTGTGTTATTGGACAGATGTGATGAACGGATTCAGAAAATTCAGACAATCAAGATGATGGAAGGAATCTTCATCTGTGCAGCTCCTCATTGTCTTAGGTCATTCCTGAAGAAACTTGACTTTGAAGCCCATGTCCATGAGCTCCACGGAAGCCTATTACAAGCCGATGCAGAGAAAGAAGATGGTAACCAGTCAGATGTTCAGAGCACAATGCAGCCATCTTCAGCTTCAGAATCCACGTTGCGAGGTCCTTTAAGATCCCAGCAGCTACAATCCCGTGAACAACCATTACTAAACAGGTCGGCGTCATTTGCAAAATCACAATCTGCATTTGGTCAAGTCCAGAATTACCCTCCGTTCCAATGGGGTTACCACAGGCCACAGCAGTTTGGTTTTCCTTCGTGTCCAACAACATATGGTTGAAAAATCTCAACAATTCTTTAACGGTGCTCAGTACGAGATGACAAGAACAGAGAGTGGCGGATCACAACAAGGTTCATTGCTCGGGTACCAATGATGAATCTGAGTTTCCAAGGATCGTATCCTCCTCCGTCATGGAATCCTGGAATGGCACTGCCTCAAACGACCCAGCAGGTTAACCAGGGTAGAGGGTGGCAACAAGAGAACCGTGATGGCTTTGGGCAGGGCTCTTCAAAAATCAACTTTTGTCTCTGCCTTAGACAAAATGTATTTGGTACTGCATATACAATATGTTGCTATATTTAGCAGTATCTTCTGCTATTTACACACCAGACACGTACTTTTCTCTTCAATGGCAACTATTGCTTATGGGTAGGCACCTAGTACTAGTATTACAGAAGCACCAGATATTTCAAAATTTCTGAAATACCCAGACTTTTGATATATATATATATATATATATTTTTGGTCTGCCAAAGTTTCATTAATTTTAAGCCCAGTAAAAGGTAATACAATGATGAAGAGAAGCCTAGATATTTATCGGAGTATCTATCCACAACTTTAGATATTTAGATATTTAGATATTTACACACCTGAAACTTTTATTTGACCAGAAGTGCTCGAATCTTTTACTATTTTTACACTAAGACTTGTATATTCTGCTATTTACATAGTTGACCCGAAACTATCTCTATTTGCAGGGGAAGGACCTGTAACATTTTAATACACTTGGAGATTCGATCTCACTTCTTACAATCCTTCTCCCTCTCCGACTCCGACACCGACACCTTTCACGTTCTCCGGCGGCTCTAGTCGTCGCCGTCATTTCAGTTTCTAACTTTATGTTCGTGTTTCTCATTCCCTTTATTTCTCCGTTATCACTTAATTAGCTTTCGTGAAAACAATTTCGAATTTAGTGTCCCGATCTCTTTATGATTACAATGTCCCCAACTTTGCTTTCGTGATCGTCCCCGAGAAGGACTAGGATCTCGTTGTGTTCTCCTTCTTTTTCCATATGAAAATGAAGGATCGTGATAAGCTCAATTCTGGATTTTAGAAGTCGTATCATCTACTTGATTATACAGTTTCTTGTATCTAATTGTTAAATCATATGAGATCGAAACTCTTTTGCTCTCAAAAATGGCAGAGTGAAGCTGTGACGTAGTCTCTGGTAATGGAAGAGATCAGGAAAGAAATAGATGTTGGTGATTGGCATTCAAATCTCGCTCACGATGAATGGACACCACTCCCTGTTTCTGGCTCTCGAGCATCAGCTCGCTACAAGGTCACTGATTATATCTTTGTCTGTGGTTAAGCATTTGATTAAATTGCTCCTAAACCTTTTCGTGTGTTCTCTGGAAAATGCAGCATGCGGCAGTGGTTGTTGATGAAAAGCTCTACATTGTTGGTGGAAGCCGTAATGGCCGATATTTATCTGATGTCCAGGTAAATTGTGTGTTTCCTTCTTTGTGTCTGTATCTTCCTTTTGTTTTCATGAATCTGTGGTGATTTGAAAAACTCAACTCATCAGGTGTTTGATCTTACAAGTTTGACTTGGTCTAGTTTGAAACTGATAACTGAATCATCAAGTGCTGAGAACATTCAAGAGGATGATGGTAGCAGCTTAAGGGAAGCTTTTCCTGCTATTTCAGACCACCGCATGGTAAGTCCTTTACATGAAAAAGAATTTTGTAATCAATACTTAAAGAATGTTAAATGTGAAGCATTTTGACAGATTAAGTGGGGAAACATGCTTCTTTTGATCGGGGGACACTCCAAGAAGTCATCAGATAACATTTCAGGTTAGCCATATTCAGCTTTCCTTTTTATTGGATGCTCTTTGAAATTCTTATATGTGTGTTTAATTCTTTTCTTACAGTGCGGTTCATTGATTTGGAAACACATTTATGTGGAGTCTTTGATGTGTCTGGGAATGTTCCGGTAAGAAAACTGTTATCTAAATTATTTCTCGCTCCATTTGTAGCTGTTTTGGATAGTTAGTTATATACCTTCCATGTTTTCTAGGCTTCACGTGGTGGACATTCCATTACACTGGTTGGATCCCGAGTTCTTGTTTTTGGTGGGGAAGATAAGAACAGGAGACTGCTGAATGATCTGCATGTTCTTGATCTTGAGACAATGACTTGGGATATTGTAGAGACAAAGTAAGTTTATGTAAAAGTGCAGACAGCTACATCCATGCTTATGTTTACTGCAGTTTTGTCTACCCGGTCTTACAATCAAATGCACTGTATTGTTTTTTTTTTTTTGATAGGCAGACACGCCCAGTTCCCAGATTTGACCACACAGCTGCCACACATTCCGATCGTTACCTCTTGATTTTTGGTGGTTGTTCTCATTCGATCTTCTACAGTGATCTTCATATCCTTGACTTGCAAACAGTAAGTAAGCACATTTTCTTGGTATTTTTTTTGCCATTTTCATCATATTCTGATGAATTTGTTTTTACTCATGGCAGATGGAGTGGTCACAGCCTCATGTTCAGGGAGATGTTGTAACTCCTCGGGCAGGACACGCTGGAATCACCATTGACGAAAACTGGTATATAGTTGGGGGTGGTGATAACAGTACTGGTAAATGCACTCTCTGATTCAAGAATTACGTCTTACTCGCTCAACACACTATTCCAGTTAATTCTTTGCATTCATCTCTACTCGGTAACTCTTTTCTTTCCGTGCAGGTTGTTTAGAGACCCTTGTTCTAAATATGTCAAAGCTGGTTTGGTCCACATCAACCCATGTAGAAGCAAGACATCCACTTGCTAGTGAGGTTGATACTTCCAAAACTAGAACCCAATCTTAGATGTTTCTTTATCTTTCCTATCCGAGTTTTCTTATGTGTTTTATGGTTCAACTGCAGGGTCTCAGTGTATGTTCAGCATCAGTATTTGGAGAGAACATCTTAGTAGCTTTTGGCGGCTATAATGGGAAGTATAACAATGATGTAAGCCCATAGCAATAGATTTCAACTTGCACAAGTCAAATCTTATTGATATGCTTATTCGGGCTGTTGTCTTCTTTTCTTACAGATATATGTCATGATTCTAAAACCAGGAGAATCCTCACATCCCAAAATCTTTAAGTCACCAGCAGCCGCTGCAGCTGCAGCCTCTGTCACTGCTGCTTATGCCATAGCCAAGTCAGATAAGTCAGATTATCCACCACCTGCAAATCCAACTCTCAATGGAATAGGAAGCAGTCTTCCTGAGAGAGATATTAGGAATAGAATCGATACCATTAAAGAAGAAAAAAGATCGTTGGAATCCTCTGTTGCGGAAACCCAAGTAGAAAATGCGAAGCTCAGGGAAAAGATAGATGAAGTCAATAGCAGCCACACTGAGCTATCTCAAGTACGTAATCTCTATCTGTGTAAGGTTATCCCTATTTGCGTTCTATGAACACGATTCACAATCTTTAAACATTATCCCAGGAACTACAATCTGTAGAAGGTCAACTTATTTCAGAACGATCAAGATGCTTTAAACTCGAGGTTTATAAGCATCCTCCTACCTTCCAATAGCCTTCTCTTATTCTAAAATCACCAACTCAAGCACGGTTTATCTAATGGCATGTCTCAGGCACAAATAGCAGAATTGCAGAAAGCATTGGAGTCAGGGCAATCTATCGAAGCTGAAGTTGAGATGCTTAGAAGGCAGAGGTCAGTATCTGATGAAGGAGAAGACGGGACTGTGCAAAGGCAAGGCTCTGGGGGTGTGTGGGGTTTGTTTGGAAGGTAAATCCTAAACAATTTGGCTACACAAACACTTAAAGCTTTGAAGATACAAACATTGGTTTATAATTCTATTTTTGAGAATGAGAGTGGGATAAGGATGTTCTTTCTTGTTTATTATGAAAGATTCAAAATCAATTTGCTTGTTTATGAATGCTTTTTGAGTTTTTTTCCCTCCTTATTTACTGGAGATTTTACAACGTTATATTTTTGCACGTAAATATCATTTCACTTTACTAATATGTTTAACCAAAGTTTCAAACAATAACAATTAACGACCATGGATCAAATAACAATTGTCATAAAAAAGTTGTTATGTTCTTATTTCTAGAAGAGAATTTCAAACTACACAAAACCCTTAGAAATAAAAATTTAAATATGGAGCAGCAAAGCACTGCCAAAGTAAAGGCTATATAGTTGGAGAGGTACAAACACCAAAAAGTCTTTTTGAGACGATTTGACTTTTGGTCCTATTACCGAGCAAACACCATGGTTACTATTTTGAAGCTAACAGAGAGTAGAAGAACCCATAAACACATGAAGACTAACATAGCTCTTGTCGCCGTAGTCTCTGTCTTGCTTCCCGAGGCACTCAGCGCATCATCCCGTTGGACTACCCCGAATGAAAGGACTACGTTGAGGTTACCGTTCTTGTCATATGACCAGCCCATACCGCTGTCCGCTGCTAGAGTCATGTTTGATATTCTGATCATACCTGCAGTCACGTGAACTGAACCAGAAGATTGTGCTGCGTGTAGCCGCATTGCAGCGTCCTTTGTTTGGAACTGTGAAGCAAATGAAGATGGAGTAGGAATGGCTCCAAGCATGTGGCTTGTCTTCTTGAGAAAAGGGTACTTCGAAGCTACATGATTTAGTTTCAAAAGAGTCAGAATCGGTCATCAAATGGCTTGTTTAAAAAGGAATCTGTGAACATCTGAGTGTTACCTGAATCAAAGTCCTTGACATCTGCATCTTGTTTTGATGAAGATCCTTCGCCACTTTCCTTTTCCTCCACCGCCTCTTTGCCTCCTGCGACCTCCTTCTCCAGTTCTTCAGGGGTAGGCTGTTGGTGTAAAGGTGAGTTAAAAAAGAGTTTTAACATATGTAAAAACTAAGCACGTTGGAAGAACGAGTCTTACTTTCTGATCAAGGCCTTCTAGGTTGGGAAGAGCAGCTTCAGGTCCCATTAATTGAGAATCATCAAGAGTGAAACTCTCATCATCAAAGAAGTTGAGATAATCTTCGAAGTTAAAATCATCTTGCTGAGCACAGCTGAGATCATTCGTTTCCAGGTACAGACCATCGTTGAGTGGAAGATTGTTGTTAGGATCCATAAATGGCTCATCGGGCAAATAGTTAGTATCAATAGGAATGTCACTGTAGCATGTATCAGCCACAAACACATTATTGTTGGAAGATTCCAGATTCACTGCATTCTCGTCTTGCACACCACAGCCAATTTGTTCCTCTGGAAACAGAGAACAAGGCTGAATGCTACCATCCCGTATGATAGGCTTCTGATCTTCCTCAAAAGTTTCAATTGGTTGTTCAAAGTAGCCACCAGAGTCGACAACGTAGTTTCCTGGTTGAATGTAATTTCCAGAGTCTGAGTAATTGCCTGATTCAACATTGTTGCTGGATTCTCCATGACAGTAGTTAGGTAGAATTGGAACGGCATCATAGACCACCAGATTCTCGGGCTTCTGCAAGAGGAAATCATATTCAGACGCTAACATAAAAGACATGTCATGAATGAATCCAAAACAATAAGAAGATGTAAAGATCTATATCATCATAAATATGCCAATGCCAACACCTAAGCTAACTAACATCCATCCCTCGTCTTTAATCAAAACAGGTATACTATTCCAGCACATAAGCAAAAGGCACCCAAGGCTTGCTAATAGGAAAACACTCCATTTCTTCCCCGCCATCTTTCTAACCATATCACTAATCACTTCTACATTACACACTAATCAGAAAGGGAAATAATTTCTGGAATTGATGAAGAAAAAGGTAGGATCTACTTCTAATACAAACCTCGTCAATGTCATCAATATCAACATAAACATCATCATCAACAGCCAATCCTTCACTGAAAGAATCTTGATCTGGTACATAAGTCATTGCATCTTCTTCCCACTCCTCCTCAAGAAACGGAGCACCGTACTGCTCCCCATTCTTAGGACCCGTACCACTTTTCTGGAATATCCTACATAACACATATGCTTCCTTCTCCACCAACCACCAAAACGACTCAACAAAGTCAATAACTCAATCCATAGACATAGAAGAAAACAACTTTCAGACCAAAAATGGAAAACAAAACAAACCCAATTGCTTAAATCTTACTTGCGGCACACCAGCTTTCTTCAAGTCCTCATCAGAAAGCCTATACTCGTGCATAACCCAATTGGTCCTTTCACCACGAGGAGCTCGACCCTTGTGATAAACAAGTGTCTTCTTCATCCCAACGACTCTTGAACCATTACGAATCTCCCGATCCTTGCCAGTCGTCTTCCAATACCCTTTCTCCGTCGCACGATTCGTCTTTGAACCATTACTGTATTTCTTATCCAGCATACTAAAGAAGTACCATTCCAAGTCTCTACTTTTCAGCTTAGACTTATCTATATACACAAAAAAACCAATCGAATCAATCAGAATTCCAGATCATTCATAATCAAGCTCCATAATTCAATCTAACTAGAAAACAAAAAGAGAGATTGAGAGAAAAAAGTAACCTGGTAGATCCCAAGGCTCGGATTTGTATATGTCGGTGACGGAAATAGCATCGAACTTAAAGGGTTTGTTGCAGACCTTGCGCTTAAGGTAGTAGCGAACAAGTTCCTCGTCCGTTGGGTGAAAACGGAACCCAGGAGCAAGCGACGTCACTGAGCCACGACCCATCAATCGGTGAACCAGAACTTGAAGAAAGTAAGGGTTTTTATGGGAACAAATCGAGTAGAAAGAGAGTTGCTCCGATTTCGAGATTCGAGATAAATAAACAGATAATTAGATATCTGAAAAATTAGGGTTTTAAGGGAAAATTGGAAGAAAGAGAGAGAGAGAGAGATGAATCGATCACGATGGCATTGGAATTAAGCAACCGTGGAAAGAAAAAGAATAAAGAAAAAAAAAAAAAAAAAAAAAGAAGAAATTACGCAGCGAAGGTTTTAAAATCTTCCACGAAGGTGAGATTTAGATATAAGTGTTCGGTGACGGTGCGGTGATATTTGATTAGCGACGGTATCTAGTTAGGTGACACGTCAACACCTTTAGCTAATATTTTGTGATTCTAGAAGATTCTAACCAACATGTTGAGGTCGTTGGGAATACAATCAAATCTGTTTTTTCAATCTTTTTATTTCGTTGTCATAATAATATCTCTTACTCACTACAAAATAACAAGTACAAAAAGCCTTGAACTGATCATAAAAGATTATTAGAAATCCTATTTATTAAAATTATATATACATATGAATATATATATATGTAGATATCATATTCTATCTTGATAACTTTTTGTTTGTTTTGTTTTAGATGATAAAATGCAAAACAGTACAAGATAGGCCAAAAGAAAAATGTCTCAGACCTTTCATTTAATCCTAATTATGCAATAGAGAGAGTTTGACATCGTTCCCAATCCAACCACATAGCTCAAGTAAAGTCTGTGAGATTCCACGGAAACATAAGTTAAAAGAAGAGTTAAGTAATTCGATCTGAGATATCGAGCTGCTCAGCGGAAGCAGTACTGTTAATGATTCTTCCTGTAGATGAACAATGGTCTTGAGTGGTTTGAGTACCTGAGCTGTTGGAATTTCCAATAGAGCCGATTCGGCGCTTGCGTTTGTATTGTATGAGAGGCAATGAAGCATCTTCGTTGAGGCCATAATTAGGCAATAATGGTGCTTCAGATTCTCTCTTCAGTACCTCATCATCATCATCAACGTTCTTGTTGTTGTCAACTTGTCATGATCGATCTCACTCTCTCTCGGGAGCTCGTTCAGATCAATGAGGTTCTTGCTCTGCGACTGGTTTTCCTTCACAAAAAATATAACAGTTACATGAGTATTCAACTTGCAATCTCTATGGACTCGACTAAAAAACAGAGCAAAGGGAAAAAAAAAAAAAAAGTTTCTATGATTCTTCATTTTCATTTTCACACACACACACACACATTTCAATATTATTTTTTCAACTTCAAAAAAAGAAACAATCAACTATGAAAGAAAACATATATCATTCATATATCAACTATGAAAGAAAAGAAAAAAAAAAAAACAAAATCGAATTAACGGGGTCTAAGAATTGGGCTGTTGCTATTAATATAATAATATTTAAGCCCAACATCATTTCATTTTGCAACACACTAGTTTTTAAGCCCACATTTGTATTTAGTTTCTTCTTCTCTTCTTTTTTTTTTGCACGATGGCATTGGTATATATATATTTTTTTTCCTCTGCATTGGTATTAACTTGTAATTGGTTCTTTTCTTTTCTTTTCTTCTCTTCTTCAACCCGAACCATTTAGACTAGTAAAAGCGCAAAACAGCATACAGTCTTCACTCTGAATACCAACAACAATCACTTTTGATCTAGAAAAGCAAATACGGTCTTGACGTTGAAGTGGAAAATAAGCTAGATTCAGATTTGAAGTGTCTGTATATTCTTTTACATATATTCTCAAGAATTGAAAGTGTTGGTTCCACATAAATTGAAAAAAAATCAACTGATATAGTTTTGTCTTGTGGCCGCGAGTCTATTCTTACAAGGAAAATTATATATTAAAGGTTTTAAAATAGGGAAAATTCCCAAAAAAAACCTCAAGTATTTTTTATTTGAAAGTTTAATGCCCAATTCTTTTTGGTTGGAACAAAAATACATTATTTAAATATTGTTGGTCGAAAAATACATCATGTTAAAATTATTGGTAATTTCAAACCTACGACTTAACAGCCGTTACCGGATGCTACGGTATCATTTAACGGTGTTAAATTTTAACCTCTCGTATTTTAATAGATATGTATAATATGTTTGGTAAGTATTATTAGAATATTACCGTAGTCTGGTGGTGAAAGGTTGGTTTTGCAACCCACAGAACCCAGGTTCGATCCTCCGATTTTTTTTTTTATATTCTCTTTCTCACCTCCTTCACAAAACCCTTACGGCGAACATCGTCGCCGATGTAAGCTTGAGATTCGAACCTGTACCGTTGCCGTAGGGCTTGAGATTCGTTTATGACTGAACTTTTTCTTTTTGTTGTTGAAGGACATGATTTCATCATCATCTTATCTTCTTCTCCAACAAACCTTTGTTTTTTAAAAATGGTTTTAAAGGAAACATGAACCAGTGGTGAAATCTATGGGAATTAAATCCAATTTGAACTTGTTAATCCAGAGAATACTGTAATTAATGGGTGAATTAGGGAGCTAATTCTTCAATTGAATCTTCAAATTGGTGAAACGAATTACATAACATCACGATTTAGCATAAATGAGCGATATAGCGTCTTGAAGAAGTGAGGAGGAAGAAGAAGAAGAAGAAGGAGATAAGGCGGGAGGAAGTAAGTCATGCGACAGCGATGAGATTTGCGTAAATAGCAGAAGGAGAAGGAGCGATATAGCAGTCATGGTACAGCAAAAGAGAAAAGGGAAAAAAAAAACGAAAAGATGTCAATGGGTGAGATTCGAACCCAGATTATATGAGTTACAAAACCAAACCGTCACCACTAGACTACGGTGATATGTAGGTATAGTAATCTAAACATGTTTAATATATCTATTTAAATTCATGAGATTAAACTTTAACACCGTCAATGATTCTGTAACGTCCGTTAACGGCTGTTAAGTCGCAAGTGTGAAATTACCAATAATTTTAACATGGTGTATTTTTCGACCAACAATATTTAAATAATGTATTTTTATTCCAACCAAAAAGAATTGGGCATTAAACTTCCAAATAAAAAATACTTGAGGTTTTTTTTGGGAATTTTCCCTTTTAAAATATAATAAATTTGTCTTTTAGTGGAGATCCTGGAATCAAGGAAAAACATTCATTGCAAGTAAACAGAATGTGAATAGATATGACAACATTAAAGGGAAAAATCATTAGTGGTAATAAAAAAACACATATAATCAAACACATCTATATATACATTTTTGGATGACTTTTAGTAAATAAATCCTGGAGTTGGAATGTATTTACAAACAATGCCATTGGAGTTAATTCTTAAGATTTGAAAAAATTAATTAAAGATATTATTCTAAAGATCGTTCTTCAAATCTTCTCCAACTAATTACTTTAAAAATCTCGATAATAACTATTCCGTGATTTACTGTAATCTTCAAATATATTTGGTATGATTTCTCATAATTAAAGATCCATCATTAATTGCAATAATAAATAAAAACAATAATTTCCTTTTATTTTAAAAACTTTCTAACGACAATCTATATATACATTTTTGGATGACTTTTAGTAAATAAATCCTGGAGTTGGAATGTATTTACAAACAATGTCATTGGAGTTAATTCTTAAGATTTGAAAAAATTAATTAAAGATATTATTCTAAAGATCGTTCTTCAAATCTTCTCCAACTAATTACTTTAAAAATCTCGATAATAACTATTCCGTGATTTACTGTAATCTTCAAATATATTTGGTATGATTTCTCATAATTAAAGATCCATCATTAATTGCAATAATAAATAAAAACAATAATTTCCTTTTATTTTAAAAACTTTCTAACGACAAATGTATTGCAAAATAAATAATTTCCTAAAACAATTACAGAACCTAATAACTGTTGTAGACTTTTTAGGAAAATAATTACGTAAATATATAACTTAAAGATAACAATTACTCATCAAATCTTTTTTTTTGTTAATATTGTATCATAACAAGACCTAAATCAATGGACTACTTATTCTCTATATATAAGTGAGGTTATTTAGTCATCAAATCAATGTGCATGGTTCCACTCTCGCCGTCCCTCAGCTCTGCAAATCATTTGCTTCATTTTCTACATGTCTTGGACTAAGGTTCTTCCTATTCTTCTTTGATTTGAATCACTTACATCTCTTTTTTTTTTTGATAAATCACTCACTTTCATCTTTCTATGGCTTTATGTTTGATAGCCTCACGTTGAATTGAGGAGCTTCCCAGTGTATTCGGAAACTGGTCCTTCTACGTTACCTTAATCTACATGTTTTTGTGTTTGGACAAATGAGGAAATGATTCTGATTTTTATTGTTTTGGTATATTGGTTCATGTTTGAGTGTGAAAATATTTGCAGGGTTAACCATAATCCGTTGTAGCTTCTTAATATTGATTTGGAGATGCTCTTAGTATTGATTTGAAAATTTTCTTTGGTTTGTTTACTAAAAAATATTTAGTGGTTTACCATCAAATGAAAAAATCATGTGATAAAATAAACTTTATAGATTAATCTATATTTATCAATTTTTTGAGTAAATCGTTTTCTAAATATATTTATTTTAATGTAGATTAGTTAAATTATGGTTACTATTCGTTATTTGACAAACTCATTTGGCTATATTACTTATTTTAAACCAAACTCATTTTGGCAATAAATAATGTTTATTCATAAATTAGATTAACCCCCAAAAAATTATTACCAAATATATAAAGATTATTTATGTCTAAAGAATAATATGTTGCTTTAGATTATTATTATTTATAAGGTTTCAAATATTATAAATATTTTAACCTTATAAGAAGTATAAATTAATAATATTTAAAGTATCTATAATATTTAATTCCATAAAAAGTTTATAATATTAATAATATTTGAACACTATAAAAATTATAAATATTTATACTACGGAACCACTTAAAAGCAAACTTTTAAATTGACTCGAATTATATGTTTTCTAAACAAATGTGTTATTAAAAAAAATGATGTTTAATTTCACGGGACGGGGTTATATGGTGGGACGGGTTTAGATCAATAATAATACCGGAAGATATACCACGGGTTAAAATCCTAGAAATAATAATCAAAATTCAATATATAATCTTAAACACTAAACAAAACAAATAATATTAACAAAATAATTACAACTTAAAATTTAAATTTTTAGTTAAAAAGTCGACCCGCGGTGTACCGCGGGTTAAAATCTAGTACATAGATAATTAGATATAGTAATATTCTACTATATCTAATTAGTGGGAGTATTTTTTTTTGTTAACACATACATATATGGATTTTGATTTTCCCCAGTTCTCTTACTCTCTTTAAACTTTTTCCCCTCAATGTAAACCTTATTGTCAGCAGAAAAGAGAACTTTTTCTTTTATCTGAATTTAAGGGAAAAAAATCGTCACGCCCTTTTCATGAACTTTAGTTTTTCTTTGGGGAGGAAAGAAAAAAGAAATTCTTGATCAAAAGTATAAAAGAACGTGACGTCAATTTTTATTCAATTTTCTTTTGTAACAACAAATCGAAACTAACAAAGTGCTTATATTTTAATATTTCTGTATAAATGACACCAAAAAAAAAAGAATCTCGCAAGTCTTGAACAAGCAAAGAATTGGTTAGACAAAAAAAAACACGTTTGCTAGATAAACAATGAATGATCAATCTGAAAGCAAACCAAAAATTAAAAAATGATTTTTTTTTGGGGGTTAAATAATGATGTAATAGTAAATTCAGTAGTGGCAATCCACTAAAGTAGGAGCTGACAAGACAAGAGACTTTGGTTCTTCTCTTTGCTTCTTCTGTTGATGTTCTTGTTCGTGATTTTGCTTTGAAGCAAAGCTGAATCCGTTGACCCGATTCTCATCTTCCGGTGCGGGTAGATTCAGATCCAAATCCAGTGACACGACCGTCTTCCTAGCTTTCTTTTTCGCTGGCATCACCAGATGATCCTGACCGTCCGATATTTGATCGAACGACATTGAAGACAGTGATAGCTCCGTGTTGGCCGCAGCCGTGGCCACCGTCACGGTGGGGGCAACCGCCGCCGGGACAACCACTGCGCCTCTGTGCCGTCTCATATGGCCACCTAAGGCTTGTCCGGACGTAAACTCGGCTCCACAGATTCCACATTCATGAACCTTATTGTTACTTGCCTTACCGTACACGACAAGCGATCTACTGTTATTGTTCTTGTTGTTATTGTAAACAGTTGTGGTTGTGTGTACAAGTGAAACGGCGTCGTTTGCATAGATGTTCTTCTTGAGGTCAAGATTGGAGTAAAAAGAGGCGGCTTTAGGTTTCTTGTGGCTAGCTCTATGGCCACCTAAAGCTTGAAAAGAAGGAAAAGTCCGGTCACATGTCTTGCACTGATAAACGTAGTAACCTGCTTTACCACCACTGTTTGAAGAAGAAGTCTCTAGAAACCTCCTGCTGGTAAATCTGTATGCGTTGTTGTTGCTGTTGTTGTTTGTTACGTGGTGGTTGTTGTTGGGAAGAGAGTGTCCTTGGGCAAGGAGGATCAAACAATTGGCTATGTCTTGATCTTCCTCGTCTTCTGCGGCCTTCAATATTGGGTTGTTGTGAGAGGACCAAGAGGCTGATGAAGATGAAGACGTGATCACACCATCCTTTTTGTGGTTTCCTAAAGCATTGTCCTTGGAATCAAGATCAGTGAATTCTTCTTCCATGTTACGTTCCGGGGAAGAAACTATAGGAGGGGAGATAGAGAAAGGAATAGGAGATTGTGGACGTTGTCGCTTCGTCCGCTTCCCTTTAAGGATCAAAGAGTGCTCCTTTGTGGCCTCTTCGAACGCTTCCATTAGCCAGAGATTCAAGATCACAGATCAAGAACGGATCAGGATCGGAGAAGAGGATTTGTGTTGTTGATTATGAAGAAGTTAAGGATGAGAGATGCATATATAGTAATGTGTTAAGAGGAAGATGTGTGTGGGATGGAGAGAGATGTGTGGAGAGATGGATACATAAATAGTGAGTGATTTAGGAAGAGAGGAGTCAAAGAGAGACACCACACATATAGAACAAAAATATATGAGAAAGCTTTTTAAGTATGTGAATATGTTTGGACTTGTCCTTTTGTAGCCTCTTAAATTTTAGTACTTCTGTTATTGTCTCTCTTCTACCATTTGCCCAACTTGGCAAACTAATCACATTACAATCAGATAAAAGAGAGAGAAACAGTGTGTGTGACAATTTGCAACAAAAAATGTACAATTTTAGACAATTTCTATAGTAATATTTGCTTGTTCCACTAATAATCCCGTTTTTTAACTCTGCATAACGATTTATTCGGGGTGTGATCACATGTAAAATAGTTTCTTTAGTTTTTCTTGTTCAAATTAGTTTTTAGATTGATGAGTAAATTTTAACAAATTCTAGGCATATATCGATCACTTCAAAATAGAAATTAAAAGATAGAATATCACATACGTATTTCTAATTATATGATTCAACATTATATTTTTAGTTCGAATTATTATTTATCTTTTGTTTTGTAATTTTAGTTGATTAAACTATTCTATAGAAAATTTAGAATTTTTTCTAAAAATAATTAAAAATCTTAACATGTTCGAATCTACTATAAACTCCTACGACAACCAAACCAAACGTAAATGAGATCTAATCACGTATTGGTTTTTCTAGTTAATTATATATATGTATATATATCATTTTGTAGTCGAATTTCGTTAATCATCGATTATTTTGATTAGTTTGGAGTGTTGAGTGATGCTTATTAAAAACAAAACAAAAAAAACAAATAATTATGAATGAAGAAAAAGAAAGGTAAAAAACGGAAGGAGAGGTTAATAGAAAGGTTTGGAGTAATGATGTGAAAATGCAAGCCTGTCTCTCACGGAATCTACGTCTCCCCTTCTTCTTCTCTCTCCCTCTACCATTACTCCACTCCATCTTCATTTTTATATACTTTATTTATCTGTTTACCATATTTCTACGTAAATATGTATATTGAAAAAAACATACCACTTCTAATTATCTAGAATTGTGTAATATTGACTCTAAAAATCTCAAGTCCAACTAATTTGTCTTAAGGCTACGATAAGACTTCAAGCAAGACTTTGAGACAATAATACAAGTAGTGGCAAAGTAGTATATATATAATTATATATAACTAAATTCTCTTTATATTTGTCTATTCATATTAATTTAACAGGTAATTAAAGATATTCCTAATTAAGAGAATCGTCCACCATAATATTGAAAATGAACACATTAGTTATGGAATATGAAGTAAATTAATAAAATATTTAAAATAGAGAGATAGATACAAATTTGTGCCATATATAAACACATGTTGGCGTGTATTTGCAGATGGAAGAGCACCCATTCCGTTAATGGATGGCATAAATTCCGTTAATGGATTCATTATACAGATTCCGTTAATGGATACATTATACAGATTCCGTTAATGGATGCATGATGTGAAGAGCACCCATTCCACGTCAAGAATATTACTAAGTAGTAAGTACCAAGCAATCATTAAGTGCAGCTCATCGTATCTTCAAGAGTTATTATCTATTTTTTTTTTTTTAGTATACATATCCGATTAATCAATGTTTATATGATCCTCGACAATTGTCATCTAGCTCCGTCGATTTTCATTCACTTTGAACAACGTAAGAATTCTACAAAGACTCTAATTACTATCAGTGGCATAATTTTTTCAAAGTCTATATGAGGATTATTTGAAAATTTTAAGATGGAAAATGTGATTCTTTGAATGTTATATATATGTAGTTCAATTGACGCCAACAAATCTACATATATAACATTAAGTCTACTTCCATCTGTTGGGAGACTTGGTTAGTAGCTAAATAATTAGCTAGGGGCAAAGAGCGTGACTAGTTATTGCTTAACCCCAATGATGAGGGAAGAGTACCGACTAGCTAGATAACATGGACTGAATTAATGTAAACATATGTAATTATTACAAATTAACAATTATATAAATTACTTTCATAAGTTGTTATCTTAATTATTCTCTTTTCGTCTATAACTCTCACACACACACACTTACAGGTTCAATTAAACTCGAGTACATATATAACAACAATAGTAATATAACACACTACATTACAAGCTCCAGTTGATTATTAACTAGCTAATGAATTTTATATAACATAAGAAATGAATATTCTTTTCTATAATTAGTAATTTCATGATAGTTGTGTAACTTAATTTGATTTTGTATTGATTGTACGTAGTTGATTAATAGAGCGAAGGAAGGTGGTGGGAGAGTTAAGGAGCACAAGTCGGCTCTCTGACCATTATCGAGTGTGAGCTTCTTCTTCTTAATATTTGTGTCTATTTCATGGTCGCACGTTCCTTTAATACGACCACACAATTGTATTAAACTTTAGGACATGAGGAAAGTTTTTTCTTAGTCAATGAAACGACTATGCTGACGGTCGTTTTGTTCCTGCAACTAGCATGTTGAGACACATGACATGCAAACTTGTTAAACAATATGTTGGTGATGGCATCTCCAAAGTGAGCTACGAGCAGTGGTTCACTCACCGCTCTGATGTAATTGGCTTCATTTTTCCCTGATTTACTTCTCTTTGACTCGTCTTGGTTACAATGGCCAAGGTCATATCCATGTGTCTCCAAGTCTTTGATTTCAAAGGAACCTTCTTTCTGTACCACCTCCTTTACTTCTTTTTCGTTGGGGTCATAAAATGGAATGTAGAACGAATCTACCTTCGATGGACTCACAAGACCCTATAAAAATAAAATAAAATTTGATGACAAAATTGTTTGGTTTTCAAATCGAAAGTATCAAGAAACCAACACTAATATGTTGACGAACATAGAGCAGTCCACACATTTTCAATTGATTTTGAGTTGAAGCTTATAATTCCTCACAAAAATAAAAAATGTGAAACTATATATGTTTGAACATATTAATTTTGTCCAAGAAAAAATGATTTATCTAAATACCTCGACGACTAGGTCACGGAGAGATCTGGATAATAATGTCCAAAAGTGACAACAATCTCTATGCAATGGATTATCAATAGTGTTTCGACCAATGAAAGTGAGAACCATGCGTCCATTAGAAACCATCTCTTCAGAACGCAGTTTAAGAAATGTCGCGAAATCTGTTTGGAATTGATTTAAGTAAGCCTTATATGTACTTAGAGGACTTGAATTTGTGATGTACACACTCATCTTACTCTTCTTAAGCCCTTCAGGAACCTTACAATCAAATAGTTCTAGCATTAGCAATTTTCTTATCAATTTCTATACATAGAATGTTAAAAATGAAGTGTCAACACATATCATACCTTAGAGAGCCAATGGAGACCATAAGAGGAATGTACGAAATGAAGACTCCTCCGAGGGAAGAGCCTCGAGTAGAAAGAACCGGGGACTCCAGAGACAAAGTATGATTCTTTGCTCGTGATGTTCTTCTCGTTGAAGAATTGTATGAATTTGAACGTTGTGTTAAAATCGTTATTAGGGAGATCATTTAGACAACAATCTATTTCTGGTGGGTTTTGGTTCCTCTGTTGACATAACACATTGACTGTATTGATAATTTCAGACATCGCCAAGAATGTGTTTTGTCCAGATGAACAACCCAAATCAGCTACTTTAATGTATGTAGGAAAGTTTAAGTTTATCATCAGTTCCTTTGTGTTCTTAACCAATACCGGTTTAGCCTTTGATAACACTCTTCTCTGAATACACACAAACATAAAAAAAAATAAGAACTTGTTAGTTAGTAGATAATCACTTTCATGTAACCTTAATTAAATTAATTATTTTTCGTTTTTAACTCTTTTTATCCAAAGTTGCCCCAAAACAAACTAACCAAAATTTTGTCTTACAAAAGAAAATTAGGTTTCAATTTTATCATGAATTCAACAAACCCATTTTTTTTTTTAAAAAAACGACATAATAACCAATGTGATTCTAAATTTCTGCATGGATATGTCCTATAAAAAAGAAAGAATTATGAAGAAAACTTAAGAAACCTGAAGAAGAGAATTGGTGGAGTAACTGTTGTATCCATCTCCTCCACTCATACATAGAGGACTCACATAAGAGTATTTACTAATTCTTTCTTCATCGCCGTTTTTCATTTCATTTTCACTCTTACCATTACTACATCTGCATCACATATATAAAACAAATACGTATACAATCATACATATATGAATACATCTATGTCAAATTCACATATACAACTTTATGATGTGAAGATGAATAGGTGAGAAGAACCTTAAGGTAGGTATGGAATGGGTGAATCTTGAATCCATTTCTCGCAATAGTTTTCAAAAACGAGAAATATTATAATATGGGTATGTTGTTTAGGGAGGCTACCTCTCAGTCGTTTTATTTATAGAGGTGGGACATATCTTGAACGTGAAACACGCCGAGTTGTTGCAATACACAGTTGCACATTCAATCATGCCCAATCTTCCAATCTTTCTAGAGATATATATATATATATATATATATATATATAATTTAAAATTTTGTCAAATAAATAAAAGGGTGAAAATAAGCAAAAAAAAAAGGAAATAGTGGGAAATTAGAATTACGAGTGTTTCTATACAAGAAAAAACTTAGTATTGTAGTGTTTGTTTTTTCTCTAAGATGAGAATTTTATGATGTTTTGAAAGCTCATATCGTATCTCGATTCATAGATAGAGAATCAAAACACTATGTAAAGTGACATTATTGGTCGTAAAGTAGAATTATATAGTGAAGATCATGACGAATAAGTACGACCCCCATAATATTCTCAAATAACCATGATATTCTCGATAAGATTTAACGAAAAGTTAGAAGAAAAAAGGTTGTAGACACGTGTTTGTAGAACTCGAACTTTTCTTTAATATGTCGTCTTTTCTTTTTAGAAATCTGAAAAAAAAAAGAGAGGGGAAGAGGGACTACGCGGCACATCAAAGGAGTACGCGGCATGTATATAGTTTCTAGTAAATAAAAGAAGTAGACAAATTCAACCAGGCCTTGTGGCTTAGTGGTAAAGGGGTCACAGCTGTAACTTCCGCCACCAGGGTTCGAGACATGGTCATTGGCAGGTTTACATAGAGGAATTGCCAGCCTCGTGAGATTAGTCATTGGGCTTAGGAAGCATTTGGGAGACCCGCGGTTATTCAAAAAAAAAAAAAAGTAGACAAATTCTTTTAATGATGTTTATATTTAACTATTAAACGAGATTTTGTATAGTTGTGACATTTGTTAATGTCGTTATGTCTTGTTTCATACGTAAACACCACTAGCACTTATTGGAACAGAATCATCAACATGCACAAAAGTGAAATCCAAGCCATGTTTGGTGTTGTCGACTTCACGCACGGATAAATATCCTTAATCCATACTACAAATTATTTCCAAATCAATGAAACGACAAAATTAAGTGACCGACGTTTTATT